ATCACAAAATGCATTCATGAAAATATACCGTATTTATTCATTAATCTTTTCCCTTCCTACTAGCAGATGAGGTTAGAAGGACATGTGAAATTATGCATATTGATTACTGAACAGTGGCCAGTTGAAACCAAGGGACTTCCTATACTACTGCTTATGTATCCTGAAAAATAAGTTATTCTTCAGAAGAAGCTGCAGAAATTGGTAAAGGCATTGACAATCTTTGTTTATGAAATTACAAAGAACAATCCTGGTAGGGCTGCCCCATCCTGGTATAATTCTTCACCCCACCTCCCACTCTAATGTTTGCCTCATTTCCATTATTCGTGAGCCTGCCACTCTGGGCTAAATATATTCCCTTAATATTACCTCAAACTCTTATTCTCAAGCAATTCAACCCCACTGTATCATTGTGTCTGCCGTCTCCCAACCTGACTCTTACCCACCTTCCTGTATCTTTTACAAAACATTACTTCTATGTAGGGTTACCAGATTTAGCAAATAATAGTACAATTGACCCTTGAACAACACAGAGCTTAGAAATACTGATTCCCCCCCATCAAAAAAAGAAATACTGATCCCCTCACAGATCTGCATATAACTTTTGACGCCTCAAAAATTTTACTAGTTGGGTATTAGTAAATACCCTACTGTTGATCAGAAGCCTTATCAATAGCACAGTCAGTTATTACCACATAGTTTGTGTTATACGTATTATATTCTGTACTCTTATAATAAAGTAAGCTAGAGAAAAGAAAATGTTGTTAAGGAAGAGAAAACACATTTACTATTCATTAAGTGGAAGTGGATCACCAGAAAAGTCTTCATCCTCATGATCTTCATATTAAGTAGGCTGAGGAGAAGGAAGAAGAGAAGTGATTGGTCTTGCTGTGTTAGGAGTGGCAGTGGCAAACTCCTTTGGCTCTTCCCATGAGAGGTACTTAGGGGACTCAGTATTACTGTAGGGAAATACCTCATAATTTCTATCTGACTTGTTTTTTGCTCTAAAAATGTTTCTATATGGTATTGATCCTTCTTCCTCTGGTTGCTTTAGTTTTAGTGCCCGCATCATAGAAGGGTCAGTGTCATAAAGGTCAAAAGCAGCCTTTAATAATCAAACTCTTCTGCCATGTTGTCTAATGTCAATTGGTTTTCTGGCACAGTTTCTTCTACTAATTCATCTGGCACTGATTCAGAAGCACTCATCTCCAACAAGTTGTGTCCTATTAATTCCTCTGGTGTGGTGTCTACAGGCCTTGAATTTCTTTAAGGTTCATTATCTGGAAACCCTTCATCCCTCTCCTTTTTTGCCATAACCTTATCTCTTTCATGATTTTTCTGACTGACTCTGTCATAAATTCTGTAAGTCACGAACAACATTTGGACACAGTTTTTCTCCTGCAGGAATTTCTTTTGGGCTTGATGGCTTTAATAACTTTTTCATGATTTCTTCTCTACTAGGGTTCTCTTCCATAGCACTGACAATCCTTCCCATAGAGTATCCTGCATAATGAGGCTTAAAGGTCCCTATGACCCCTGATCTAGAGAATGAATTAAAGATGCTGAGTTTGAGGGCAAGAAGACCACTTCAGCACCTTTTGTGTCGAACTCATGGGGTTCTGGGCTGCCAGGGGCATTGTCTAATATCAAAAGAACTTTGAAAGGCAATCCCTTATTGGCAAGCTACTTCCTGACTTCAAGAAAAACACAACAATGGACCCAATCCAGAAAAGGGGTTATCACTCAATTTTGTTGTTGTAAAACCCAAAAACTGGCAGTTAATGTTTATCTTTTCCCTTTGAGGCTCAGGGGTTAGCAACTTTATATATAAGGGCAATCCTAATCATAAACCTAACTTCACTGGCACAAAATAGTGCAGTTAGCCTATCCTTCCCTTCTTAAATCCTGGTGCTCACTTCTCTTCCTTACTAATAAATGTCCTTTGTGGCATTTTTTTTTTCCAGAATGGGGTAATTCCATCTACATTAAAAACCTGTTCAAAGCACAGTACTAGTACAAAAAATAGACACGTAGACCAATGAAACAGAATATAGAGCCCAAAAATAAGACCACACACCTACAACCATCTGATCTTTAACAATGCTGACAAAAACAGACAATGGGAAAGGACTCCCTATTCAATAAATGGTGCTGGGATAACTAGCTAGCCATATGCAGAAGATTCAGACTGGACCCCTTCCTTATACAATATATAAAAATCAACTCAAGATCGATTAAAGACTTAAATGTAAAACGCAAAACTATCAAAATCCTGGAAGACAACCTAGGCAATGCCATCCTGGACATAGGAATGGCAAAGATTTCATGACGAAGATGTCAACAGCATTGCAACAAAAGCAAAACTGACAAACAGATCTAATTAAACCTAAAACTTCCGCACAGCAAATGAAACTATCAACAGAGTAAACAGACAACCTACAGAATGAGAGAAAATATTCACAAACTATGCATCTGAAAAAGGTCTAATATCCAACATTTGTAAGTAACTTAAACAAACTTACAAGAAAAAAAAACAACTCCATTAAAAAGTAGGCAAAGGACATGAACAGACACTTTTCAAAAGACATACATGCAGCCAATAAGCATATGAATAAAAGCTCAACATCACGGATCATTAGAGAAGGACAAATCAAAACCACCATGAGACACTAGCTCACACCAGTCAGAATGGCTATTATTAAAATGTCAAAACATAACTGATGCTGGCAAGGTTGGGGAGAAAAGGCAACACTTATACACTGTTGAAGGGAGTGTCAATTAGCTCAGCCATTGTGGAAAGCAGTATTGTGATTCCTCAAATTGCTAAACAGATACTACTATTCAACCCAATAATCCCATTACTAGGTATATGCCCAAAGGAATATAAATCATTTTACCATAAAGACACACATATGTATGTTCCCTGCAGCACTACTCACAATAGAAAACACATGGAATCAATCTAAATGTCTATCAATGGTAAATTAAATAAAGAAAAGATGGTACATATACACCATAGAATACAAGGCAGCCATAAAAAAGAATGAGATCATGTCTTTTGCAGGAACATGGATGGAGATGTAGGCCATTTCCTTAGCAACCTAATGCCAAAACAGAAAACCAAATACCACATGTTTTCACTTATAAGTAGGAGCTAAATGATGAGAACACATGTACACAAAGATGGGACACACTGACACCTACCTGAGGGTGGAGGTTGGCAGGAGGGAGAGGAAAAGCAAAATATTTATTGGGTACTACGCTTAGTGCCTGAGTGATGAAATAATCTGTACAGCAAACCCTTGTGACATGAGTTTACCTATATAACAAACCTGCATATGAAAGCCTCAACCTAAAAGTTAAAAAAACAAAAACAAAAATCGGTTTAGGCAGATATCCTTTCTCCTCAATAATTTTCTTCTTTCTTTTTTTTTTGAGACAGAGTCTCACACTGTCACCCAGGCTGAAGCACAATTGGCGCAATCTTGGCTCATTGCAATCTCTGCCTCCCAGATTCAAGCAATTCTCCTGCCTCGCCTCCTGAATAGCTGGGATTACACAAATGGCACCACCATGCCCAGCTAATTTTTCATATTTTTAGTAGAGATCGTGTTTCACTATGTTGGCCAGGCTGGTCTGGAACTCTTAACCTTGTGATCTGCCCGCCTCAGCGTCCCAAAGTGCTGGGATTATAGGCATGAGCCACCATGCCCAGCCCAGTGATTTTCTTAATGATGTCTGGGAACTCATCTGCTGCTTCTTGGCTGGCAGAAGCTGCCTCTCCTGTTACGTTGACATTTTTTAAGGCAAACCTCTTTCTAAAATTATCAAACCATCCTTTGCTGGCATTAAATTCTCCACCTTCTTCATCTATCTTTTGCTTTAAGTTGTTATATAGATTCAACTATCTTTTGCTTTAAGTTGTTATATGACGACTTCATTTTTTTTCTTGAATAATATTAGAGTCTACAGGTATGCTTAACTATAGCAATCCTGCGCACATATAGAAGCTACATTTTCAATAAGTGAAAAGGTATTTGGCAAAACATGCAAGGTTTTTGTGCCTGATAACGTTGCTATAGAAACAACTTCACAAATTTTCTTATCTTTTCTCACAATGGTCCTTAGGTTGGATTCATTTATCTTGAAATGGCAAGCAACTGTAGCTGCAGACTTCATTCCATGGTAATATCAAGCAATTCAAATTTTTTTGGTAATGTCATGATTTTCCTCTACTCTTCAGAGCCTTCCAGCATTACTAGTGGCACTTCACAAGGTCCCATGGTATTATTCAAGGCTCACCGTATTATGTTAAACATAATGAAAAATACATAAAAACTGTAAGACCTAACTTTGTACTGTAATACTCAATTGATTGGAGAAATGAACTGCTCACAAAGAGATCATTAGCACATGGCATTTTAAATGGATATTCACCGGGGTCCAAAGTGGCTCCCGCCGGAGGTCATGGCGCTCGCAAAGGCAAGGTCATCAGTTCAAGGCTAACCTCAGAAGCTCAAACTGATTGGCAAAAAAAAAAAAAAAAAAAAATGGATATTCACACTTGAACTCACCAGCACAGCAACAGGAGGTAGCTAACAAAATTATCACAGTAGTACAGTACACTGTTGTACAGAAAACCTAGTCAGTTATGCCTCAAAAAGAGATGCACAATGAATTTGTTTTTTGAAACAGGATCTCACTCTGTTGCCCAAGCTAGAGTGCAGCGGCATCATCACAGCTCACTTCAATCTCAAATTCCTAGGTTCAACCAGTCCTCCTATCTCAGCCTCCCAAATAGCAAGACTACAGGTGCATGCCACCATGTCCAGCTGTTTTTTTATTTTTTGTAGAGATGGAGTCTTACAATGTTGCACATGTTGGTCTCAAACTCTTGGCCTCAAGTGATCTTCCTACCGTGGTCTTCCAAAGCACTGGTATTACAGGTGTTAGCCACGGTACCCAACCATACTGAATAATATTTTAGTATGGGCAGATCCCAAGCACTCACTTCAGCAGCACATATACTAAAATTGAAATGACACAGAGAAAATTAGGATGGCCTGTTAAAGGATGACACACAAATTTGTGAAGGATTCCATGTTTTTATGAAAAGCAATAATAAATGCTGGTGAGGATATGGAGAAAAGATAGATCCTAAATTATTCATTGTGTATCTGATACTCAAACTTAACTGGGTATCCTACATGTTACCTGGGAACCCTTCTCCCAGTGTTTGTTACCTTGATCCTTTACATTTTTATTGATTGACTAGAGACCTGATTTTCCTCACATAATCTCTTTCTAAATTTTTTTTTGAAAAGCCTAATTTTTCTAATATCACTCCTTCTCTGAACACAACCAATTTATCCATCACATTTTACACGTTTTCTTTCACTAGCTACTGAATTGCTTCTTCCTTATTCCAGGTGGTTTTCATATTTGATCTCTCTAATTTTACCCACTCTCCTGATCCCTCTTGACTACCTGTGTTTCCTGAAACCAGGACTTCACTGTTCTACTCATTAATTCCCTGGCTATTTTTCCCCTTTGGACTTTCTGCCATACCAGTTACTATTCCTTGATCTAACAATAGGTTTACTCATGACACCTTGCAGGCTTCAAAGGATTACTGAAAACAGTCACAAAAACTTGGCAAAACTAAAAATTTTGATATTTGGCATCTAGTAGGCCTTTGCTGCTACATAGGGATTCTATCATTCATCTCATCGCTCTTTTTGTTTTAATTCCTCTGAAAGCAGTTAAAAAGCACTGCCTCTGTACCATTGTGTACCTAAGCCTGATTTTAGACCCACCAGCATTAGAGTCACTTGGAACAATCTAATTATAATGTGAATTCCTTAGCCACACCTGGGACATATTGAATAAAAATCTTCAAGTGGGAGAGTAAAATAGAAAGGCTATAAATTCTAATTTTAAATCTATTCTCCATGTAATTTTTATGAACACTAAAAATTGTGCATCATTGCTCTACTGGATAAATGTACCATCTTTTCCCTTCAACTGGGAAAAATTTCTTTTGTTAACCTCTTTTTAGCATCAGGAAGGATGAGGTTACTTCATTTGCCTGGTTTTCTATTCCAAGCACAAACTTGGAAGAACTTTTCCAAAATAACTTACCTCTCTGGCCTTTAATCCTATTCCCTTTTGCCTTTTTTCATAATTTTTTAAAACAATCCTCTCATTTTCTATAATCTTCACTGCCTCTTTACTGAAACACTTTATCTTGGAAAATGATGGCTGTCCTCTTTATGAAACAAACAAACAAACAAAAAAGGCTTTCATTTGATATATCACTTCTTCTTAAGCTACCATCCTATTTTCCTTTACTTTCCCCCACCCCGCCCCCAAATTCTTGAAAGGCCTATTTTATCTAATAAGCAGAATACAACTATACCTACATAATCTTGTTATAAATGTATTCTTAAGCCCCTATAATCTAACTTTTTTCATTCTCTGTTCTACTAAGTTTTACAAATTTCCATCTAACATCAGTTATCCCCTTGCCCTATCTCAATCCTTGTTCTCTCTGACCTGTCATTCTTAAAACTCTCCTCACCAGTGACTCCCAAACTTGTCACAGACTGGAATCAGGTGGACAGTTCCAAAAATGATAATGCCTGGGACACATGCCCAGGATTTGTAATTTAATTGGTCTGAGGTGTGAGCTGAAATTTGAAAAAAAAAATTTAAATCCCTAGATGATTCTAATAAACAGACATGTTGGAAAACCATTGCTCCAAACATTTAACCTTCACGACATTAGTATCCTTAGTTTTTTCCTACATTTTTAACTACTTATTTTCCTGTTTACTAAATTCTTTCTCTCCCACTAATCACACACCTCCAAATACGAGGGTTAGCCAAAGAGTAGTCCTCAACTCTTCCCTTACTATAATCAATATCAATTCAAGCCATAAAAGTAGAAGAGGTGTCTCAGGGATAATGCTGGTAACAATGTTGATATCTATTATAATATCAATAATTCTAATATATCACTAATTGTAAAATGCATCATTATTTTATGTAGCACTAAATGAAAGAAGCACCTCAGATAAATTGGGGTCTAATGGGAGAATCCAACAAAAAGCTAGGACCCCAAAGGACTACACCATCTTAAACCAAAGATAAATAAAATATAAATCCACAATTTAGAAAGAAATCTCTCAACTTGGGCCATGACAGAGGGGAGAAAACACCTCCTTAACAACATGAACCACCAGATGGTTCACATGCAGCTTTCCAACCTGTATTCATGCCACCAAAGTGGTCCCAAAAACTTCTAACAGATAATTAAGTTGAAAGTGCCTCAGGTTAAAAGTGTTTCAGGTGACTGCAGAAACAACAGAATACCTCTCCAAAATGACCCCACCTCAATCCAGGGATAAAGCAATGCTGAGAAGCTGTCAATTGCAAAATGCATCTTGATCGAAGATAAGTTAAAATGTGAAAAAATATATATCCAGATAAAATAATAACAGAACTCATGTACATGCCACTAGGTTAAATGCCAGCTTTTAACACATATCAGCTCACTTAATCCTCATCATGAGGGAACTACCATTAACCCCATTTACAGATGAGAAAACAATAGCTCAGAGAAATTTCTGCCCAAGGTCACATAGCTATCAGATATGGAAAATGGAATAAACTCAGGCAGATGTGACTTTAGAGTCCATGCCCTTAGGTATTGAGCTATGGACATAATTTTGGAAAGCATCAATATTTAAGGGATAGGCAAGAAAAAAATGATCCAAAGCTAACAAGGAAATTATGAAAACTGCCAGAGGGGAAAAAAAAACCACTCACAGAAGAACAACTATAGAAACTGCTACTATGGTAGTAACAGTTGAAGGCCAGAGGATAATGGAACACCTTTTAAGATTCAAATTTAAAATGTCAACTCAAAACTCTATATGCAGTGAAAATAAGGAAGGAAAAATGAAGACATTTCCAATAAATAAAAGTTGAGAAAACTCACCACCAGCAGACCCAACCACAAAAAAATACTAAAGGAAGATCTTTAAGATAAAGAAAAACAGTACCAGATGAAACTCAGATCTAATGAAAAATTGAAAAGTTCTGAAATAACAAGTGTGTGAGTAAATAAAAAAGATCATTTACTAATTAGCTTAAATGATGACTAAATAAGCTTTATAGCACTGTATGTTTTATAATGCATGTGTATTTAAAATATATCACAATAAATAGAGGAGAAAAAGTGAATGGTACTGTATTACTGCAAGGTGCTATAGTTTGGATAGATGTCCCTCCAAATCTCATGTTGAAATTATATCTCCAGTGTTGGAGGTGGAATCTAGCGGGAGGTGCTTGGGTCATGGGAAAGGATCTCTCATAAACAGCGTGGTGCCATCCTTATAGTAATGAGAGTTTTCCCTCTATTAGTTTCCACAGAACTTGTTGTTAAATAAAGAGAAAAAAAAAAAAACAATTACGACCTCCTCCCCGCCTCACTTCTCTCTTGTCATGTGATCTCTGCATACACTGGCTCTCCTTTGCCTTCTACCATGAGTGGAAGCAGCCTGAAACTTTCAACAGAAGCAGATGTTGGTGCCATACTTCTTGTACAGTCTCTAGAATCATGAGCCAAATAAACCTGTTTTCTTTATAAATTACCCAGCCTGAGGTATTCCTTTATAGGAACACTAAATGGACTGAGATGCAGGATTTTTCACTTCATATTAAGTAGCACAATATTAACTTACAGCGGACTGTGATAAGTTAAGAAAACATATTATAATTCCTAAAACAGTCATAGAATAATAATACCAAGAAGTATAGATACCTAAGGAGCTAATGAAGAGTTTAAATGGAATTCAGAAATGTTTCATTTATCTAAAGAACATAAGAAAAAAGAAAAAACAGATGAAACATATGAAGAAAAAATCAAAATGGTAGACTTAAAACTAACCATGTTAATAATTATACTAAATGTAAATGAACTAAGCATTCCAATTAAAAGGCAAAGATTATCAAACTGGATAAAATAGCAAGAACAACTAAATGTTGAAAACAAGAGACTCACTTTAAATATAATGAAATAGAAGGTTAAAAGTAAAAGAATTCTTTAAATTCCATGAAATTGTATGCATAAAAAAGCAAATGTGGCTATACTGATATCAGATAAAGTAGACTTCAATATGAGGAGTTTACTGGAGATATAGAGGAGTAGAGTATTTTATAACAATAAAAGAGCAAATTCACCATGAATATATAACAATTCTAAATATGTGTGAGTGTAAAAACAGAACTCCAAAATATATTAAGTAAAAACTGAAAAGGAGAAATGGGCAAATATACAATCATAGCTGGAGATGTTAACACTCTTCTCTCAGTAATTTATGCAATAACTAGACAAACAAATCAATAAAAATACAGAAGAAATTGAACAACTCTGTCAACCAAGTTGACCTAAATGATACAGAACATTAACCAAAATAATTTTAAAATGCAGTGTTTCCAAAAGCATATAAAATATTTACAATGATGGATCATATACTGGTCCACAAAAAGAAAATCTCAAAACATTTTAACAATGAAATATTACAGAATGTATTCTCTAGCCAAAACAAAATTACACTAGAAATTAATGCCATTAAGTTATTTAGAAGATCTTCCAATGTTCAGAAATTAAACAACATACCAAAAATATTTGTAGGCAAAAGAAGAAAACTGGAAACTATTTTTAACTGAATGACAATGAAAACACCAATATATCAGAATTTGTGAAAAGTTAAGCAATGCCTAACAGATAAATTTATAGCCTTAACTACTTATATATTTTTTTAAAAGAATTGTTTACTTTGGGAGGCTGAGGCGGGCGGATCACAAGGTCAAGAAATGGAGACCCTCCTGGCCAGCATGGTAAAACCTCGTCTCTACTAAAAATGCAAAAATTAACTGGGCATGGTGGTGCGCACCTGTAGTCCCAGATACTCAGGAGGCTGAGGCAGGAGAATCACTTGAACCTGAGAAGCAGAGGTTGCAATGAGCAAAGATCGCACCACTGCACTCCAGCCTGGCGACAGAGCAAAACTGTCTCAAAAAAGAAAAAAAAATAAAATGT